GCAGATTCTCCAGGTAAGCGGATTTAGAGACAGAAAAATAACAACAAAATAACATCTGTCTCACTGACTTCGATTCTACTGAAAAACTGATTTAAACATAATAACCGAACGTTTTTAAATCAAAGTATAGAATTAATGCCAATAACGATTCTAGTCATCGAATAAATATATCAATAGGAAGCGACGCCCACTGGATTGGCGAAACAGACGTTCCAAAGATACTGTTGGTGGCGTATTAAGAGTGGGAAAATTACCGCTTGAGCTCGTGGGGGTTCTTTCCAACGAACACCTCTCTCCAAATCTGCCTGGTGCAAGAAGAGAGAATGTTTTCTGTCTTTTACTTAGTGTCATTTCATTACTATAAGCCGACACAAAGTGAGAAACCACTGTTCGAGAGAGTGTATGGAAGAGAAAAAAAAACCACCAGTGTTTTCTGATAGAATACTAGATTCTCCTTCAAATTGTTGTAGTTGCGAGCGAAAAACAAGAAGAATTAGACCTCTCAACAAAAGTTGCTTTACACTTCATTTCACACACTGCTTGAATCGAAGACTCAAATAATGCTTCCAAATTTTGGCTTTACTCAACAGATGTAAAATAACGTGAGGGATGCTGACGAATAATGTTAAGTTGGGCAAGATTCAGATATCTCGTGATTCATTTCGGCCGAATTCTTTGTATCAGATTTTTAGTGTGACCATCGAGCCCTTTATACCGCCCTAGAGTTATAAGAATAAACGAGTTATGCTTAATGTGAGGTTTAATTTGCAAACGTGGTTTTAATTATATCATCTGATAAAAAGGGACTGTTTTTATCACTTCGTTTTGGAGTTAAAATACCATTTTCAGTCCAATTTGAAGATCGCAGTGAACTCTTGAATTTTTTTTTTAACCTTGAGGGTCAATGAATTTGAACTAATTGCATGCACACAGCGAAACTTCGAGTACTTGTCTCTTGACGTGTTTATTAAAAATGCGAGCTTTTGTTTCACGGCAAATACACCAATCATATTTTGAGAGTTCAACCATATCCACGAGCAATAAACACTTGTGATATTTTGGGGAATAGTTGACACTGCTGTTGCGGGAACAACACAAACTGAGTGAAATTTTGCTTTACCCGTAAACTAGGCAAATAAAGTGGGAATGTAAGGTGTGAATCGAAGAGGTACTTGTTGACGCAGTGTTTGGAAAGCAGTCATTGGAAAAATAACGCTTGGTAAGTCACGAATTGTTTTATTCATGTTTCAGCAATTAGGGAAGAGACTGACCTGAAAAATAATAAAACAAAATCACTTTACTGCTATCATCGACAGAGGTGTTAAAGAAACCGCTCAAGTTTTGGACGAAATATTGGTTTTGTTTATCAAGGGCGAGGTAAAACGGAAAGATACTTGTTATTTGAATGTTAGACCTGACTTGGTTAACATAGCAGGCATTCTTGGCGATAAAATGATCGACACCGAAAATTTTACTCGGAAATGTTGCATATTACCTTTGGGGGAAGATAATTAAAGCGCTGTTAAGGGAAGGAACGAATGGGAAAATTGTTACGAGATGTCCTTGTTCCTGATATGAAGTGTTGAGCCCCGACAAGACTTGAATTTGCATGTCGGTTTTTAATTAATTGGATGTAGAGTTGACATAAAAGGACGACCGAAGCGACTCTGAACTAACATTTGAACACGGCATCATTTGTAGAAAGAAAGTCAGAGAGTTTCGCTTCTTTGAAAAAGATTCCTTCACTAAATAAATCATAATATTTATTGATTTCAGTGCCCCACTTACGTATGTTCCTTTGAGTCGGTGAAACAGCAGGTAGCCAAATGCGCACCAAAAACTCTCTAAATTCACTCTCAGAAATTCATTGCCATAAACAATGAGCCAAGTTAATCATAAAAATGTTTCCTCTATAATACCTCTCTTCAAGGAAAAGCAATCTTCGAAACTGTCAAAACTATACGTGCTTACTGGTGCAAGTGTGTTTATATAACGTTCGGAGTTTCTATAATGCTCGGAGTATGCTTCATTGGAAACCCTCGCCAGTTTCAGCAGTTCTTTGCGACTTGTATATTAATTTCTCGGTTAAGAAATATTTTGTTGAGAATTTTCGCCAGAATGGAGAAAAAATTTTGTGTTTGTCGATAAAGAATTTAATTTATTAACAGAATTAAGTTACTCAATTAAGTCAGTCTAAAATGTTTTCCCGACCTCAATCGCACCTACGTAACTGTTTGATTTTGCCCGATATGATTTAAACGTGTCGTCTCTTATTGTTCAAGTTTGTAACCTATTCCGTTCATTTCATTCATAGTTAACAATTTTAAAGTTAACTTTGGAGAATGTTTGCTCTCAAAAGGAGAAAAAGACAACCAGCTCAGCGCAACTGTAGCGTTAAGTTGTTCTGTAACCTTGGTTTCATTGTTCTCGACAATTCTTTAAATTGCTTGAATATGCAAAACTATTTCAACAATTTTGTTTTTTTCCTTATTAAACTCAAGATCAAAAAAACAACAACAACATTAACGCTAACTGAATTGAAAAATTACACCAGATATTAACTTAAGACACTGTCTAAGCGCCAATGATTTAACAACATTAGTTTTGGAGACCTTTACAAGTAGATTCTTGAGCATCATACTGCGCGCATTTACGACATAAAGTCATCGTTTGAATCATCGAGAGGCTTCGAATATGCATTCTTTTTTCAACTATTTGTTCGTCGTCATGGGTTGCCCGAATCACAGTAAGCTGAATAGAAACATATAATTTTTGGTTAGTACGTTTCGTCTAAGATGACCGAATATTTTTTAATTTAAAGCTGTCGTATAATTCTCTTAGGCACAAGCGTTTGTTAGTCTGCGTTTGGTTTATCCGAGTCTTAAGAGAGAAAAAGCTGAATACACAACTATAGTTGAAATTGGTCTGTATTAAGTACACCCAATATCAACCAGACACCAACCTATAATGTAAATTGTCCGCCGTAAAGAGCGGTTCCTAGAGCTGAAGTTTCGAGTTTCGTTCCGACAAAAAGCCAACATTCCGAAACGCCAGCTTTAGAAACTCTTTACAGTGGCCAATTTAAATTATCAACTCATGTGATTAACCCCAAATATTACTGCTTAAGTAGAGTTAACCGTGAAGATCGCTTCCATATTCATTTCTTTATGCGCAGTTCACATATATGATTTTCACATATTTACAGTCAGTTAAAACCCAATTATCTTGTACCACCGCCCACCGACACAGAGCCACAGTTTCTTCAGAAGCCAACCCTCCTCTGGCTAAGTTTGTATTCAGTGAAAGACGCAATTTAACCACTCATTTTTATGAGTGACCGAATCAGAATTTCTCCTTACAATCTCGATACAATATCAAACAGACACGTGATGAGAATAAAGAAAAATATCAATTGAGGGATTATTAGCTCATACAAAGCCAAATTCTCAGAACTAATGTCATAAGAGGTGTATGGCTTACAGTGAGGAGAATTACTAACGAGATCTTGGGATTAAACAGGTTAAAACGAAGTCAAATTTTTTTACGCCCCATTGTAATGTTCTTGGTTACCTCGCAAAATTTTTACGGCGTTTTTTAGCGCCAGGGATTTTTTCTTACAGAAAGTTATCTTTTTTGAGTTTTCCTCGATCCAAAAAACTGATAAACCTGCAAAATTTTCCGTTACAGGTGCTAGTTAACATAATTTTGTTTCAAACAACCTGTCTCAACCTGATACGCAATATTTATTACTATACCTACTACTTTTCAGATTACGTCCCCAAAAGCTACAACTTAAAAGCACTGGAGAAATGAGACTCATCACAGGAAGTTTCCTTCTTGCCATTTTCTTTACCTCCAAGCAAGACGAAGCGTTTGCCAATGGTTAGTAACTTGCTACTCATCTTCTAAGAAATTCAATTTTTTCCCTTTTTTTGCCTCAGAATAACGAGCACCTCCAGAATAAATTGGGTACAGCCTTGGAAAAAAAAAACTGTTGAAAAGTTCGGTTTTTCAACATTAAGGACCGGTACCTGAGATGTGACCCCCTCCCCCCTCATTTCCAGTTAAATGGCATTCAATTGTATAGTCCTCCCTGCATACTTTGTTGGCGACGACTGATCTCCCCTCCCTTCTCCCTGTAAAAAACATGTGACTCCCCCAAATCCTCTGCCCAACCCCCCATCCCTTCCTTACTTTCCAGCGATAAATTATGACTGACGTTACCAGCCAATATCTTGAACCTTTTTACGGAAATTTCCCCGAAGATTAGAACTAAATAAATGAAAAAAAAAATAATATAGATTAATGAATAAAAATTTGTCCTCTTCCAATTAATTTTTTTACCAGATTTGGGGTCAGTTTCGTCGTGTTTTCCAACCGAAATGAGGATAGTAGTGAACTTAACTAAAAATCCTGATCTAGTTGTCTCCGAAATGCATCTCATCGATACCAAGTGCAAAGTTACGGATAACAACGCAACCCACGCCAGGTTCGATATACCTCTAAATGACTGCGGAACGACTCGGGATGGCTCGAATCCCGATTACATTGAATTCTCCAATGCTGTAAAATGGAGTCCAAAACCTGTTGGGGATCAGCTGCAAACGCGCAAGTACGATTTTGAGTCTCGTATCATCTGCAGGTATGATCGTAATGGTTCTGCATCTGTTTCCATAAAGCCTGAGCAGGAAATCACCGTCAGTCAAACAGGTATGATGTGAGTTACTTTGCGCTGTAAATTGCTTCTGGTCCACTTATTTCTCAAATTGCGTCTGCTTGCTGCTATTAAGTTTAAGTGAATCTGTTTTGCAGTCGGTCTGTTTGTCTGTCAGCCCGTCTATGTGCCTGTCTTACGGTCTTTCTATCGGTGTGTCAGGCAGTCGATCTGACTGATTTTCGACGTCGGTCTAGCTGTCTATCTCAGTATCAGTGAGTCTGCCTGTCTGTTTGTCAGACTGTATGTCAGTCAGTCAATATGTCTGTCTCATGAAAAAGTTGGTTTTATCAACTGAGTTGTAAATTGGCCACCGTAAAGAGTTTCAAAGCTGACGTCTAGAAATTTTTAGCCCTTCGTCCTGCGCTCTGACGAAGGGTAAACGCTCCAAACGTCAGCTTTGAAACTCTTTACGGTGGCCAATTTACATTATCAACTCAGCTGATAATACAAAATTATCTTGATATATTCTCACACCGACGCAGCGTCACAGTTTCTTTAGAAACTTACCCCCTCTTTTAATATGTCTGTCTGTCTATGTGTTTGTGTGTCCCTGTGTCTGTGTGTCTATCTTTATGTCTGTCAGTCAGCCACGCTGTTTATCTGACTGCCTCCCTGATCGCCAATTGTACCCTTCGGGTTTGCAAGAAATGTTCGTAAATATTGTTTAATCACTTTGCATGTATTTATTTCAGTGTATGGGAAATTTTCGTTTGAAATGGAAGTATTCAGTGACGCAGAAAGGACCCTCAAGTTAAACCGAGACCTTCCCGTAATACCCGGAACACCGTTACACTTCAGAGTACAAGTTTTGTCAGCCGATTCAGCTTTGATTCTTCATCTCGACAAATGCTGGGCAAGAAACCAGGATTTTACTGGATCGCACGAATTTATCGAAAAAGGGTAAAAACCACATTGAATGAGTATATAACAACTGATATTCCCAGTAATACCAAGTTTACGTTTAAAAGGTTGTACCTGAACATTAAATCGACTATTTTTTGACTCGTCAAATTTATTCGTGTATACAAGGGAACCCCAATAATCTGGCAATCGTCGGGGAATGAAAATCTGGTTTCTAACAACGGTAAGGTGCAGGGATCAATATCAGTAACTGGGCAACTGCCCACCCACCCCTCCCCTAACCCAACATTAACCCTAACTTGTTATCAATCGACTATTTTTGAGTTAGGGGAGGGGTAGGTGGGCAGTTGCCCAGATACTGATATTGATCCAGTCGCCCTATAGAGCATTTCGATTAAGTTCCGCAAAACCGAGACCAAACTGATCCCAACAGTCAATCAGAACAAAGAAAGTATTACGAAAGGCCCAGGAGAACTAAAAGTAACTACATCGATTATTTAAACGGTCTGAAGTGGGAGAAAACGCGGGTGACGTGGTCTCAATTCCTTTTGGTTTGGAATCTGATTGGTTCAAAGGATAGTGTGAATATTCCTAACCAATCACAGAGCGAGGTGAAGCAAAACCAATTCAGAATTACTTTTGGCACTCTAGTGAGATTATTATAAGCAGGTTGTCGAAATAATTATCATTTCTTAAATCCTTTTGGGCACTAGAAGTGATCGTAATAAGGTGCTGGCCACATTGTGGTGTATTCCAACCATATATCTATCGGTCTTTAATAAATTATTATTAATAAATTAAGAAAAAATTAAATTATTAATAAAATAAATTAATGAAAAATAAATTAATAAAAATCAATAAATTAATAAATTAAATTTATTATCTTCAGTTTAAATATATCGCCAACTCATCACTTTTACGAAGTGAAAACTCATATTTTTCTTCCGTTTCGAAACAGCTGCAATAATGGCAAAGACAAGACTCTGGACTACGACTGTGCCAATTCAACCATTCAGGATTTCCAGATAGATGCCTTCCGCATTCTGAATTCCCCGACTGATTTCGTCTTTTTCTTCTGTGACGTCATCGTCTGTCTTGAAAAAGCCAATGCCTCGTTGTGCACTGACCGCTGTAACAATTGTACAGCAGGTTCGAATGGAGGATCCAGGAAGAGGAGGAGTGTGGAAGAGGAGTCTGATTATAAATACGACCCAGGATCCAAAACGTTCTCTCTTGTTGTTGGTCCTTATTTGGTCAAAGAGCAAGATGATGGAAAAGGTGTGTACATTTTCAGTGTTCTCTGCTCCAATCTTCACCCACGATCTTACACCCCTACTCCGGCCTTCCTCTCAACAATCCTGCTTCCGTCGAAGAAATTAATCTTTTCTCGCGTTTTCTAGATCAAAAGTCAAAGGATGATGATGATCAGACGGAGGTGGAAGAAGACGAGCTTTCCTCGACCATGATAATAGTGCTGTGTGTGACGAGCTTTGCAGCTATTGTCCTGATTTGGGTCACGATTATGGTAATCGTTTGGTTCAAACGCTGGTCAGCTAAAAATACAGCCGAGCATGCGCAGGCAGGCATACCAAGGAGACCGAAAGCTTTTAAACTGTAGGCTGATAGAGAAGCATATAATTCTTACACATTGCCAGATTTGGACTGAGAAAGTCGATCGTAAAACGGTTGTTTGAAAACGTCTTAGCTGATATTTATCAACATGTTAACCTCTTTTTGACCATATTTTAGCTTTTTTATCTTTTATATCTGTTATTTTTCTAAGGAGTATTATTAAATACTTTTCTGTCTTTGGTACTCAGGTACAGCTAGTCCGTTTTAGAAACCTAAGATCAATAATCAGTGCGCCAAAGGTGCGCCCAGATTTTTTTCCCGGCTTCTTTATGGGCGAACAGAGCCTACAAGCGCGATGCGAACGCATAGATCGAGTCAGGCACGAAATTAGGATATAGGAACGCTTGGGGTCCCCCTTTATCCCTACCTGTACGCCTGTTATGCAAGCTGTAGAAAAGGGAGAAGGCTGATAGGGGGAACCGCAGTATCTGAAACCCCTAAGTCATGTTAGCGCTTGTTCCCAGTGATCCGTTTCTTGCCCATCCTCGATAGCTTTTAATTTTTTGTAGGTACTTGATGAAAATAAAGGCGGCGGACCCGCTAAAAAGCAGCGGTGGAGCTTTGAGTGGTTTGTCTAGTTTTCCGTCCAGATCGCAAACAAAAGGCTGCATACCACGCAAACTAGCTACCTTTCAGATGTCAATATTTAGTCGCTCTCGAGCTATAGTAAGGATAGCCTGTTCCGGGCGTTCAGTCCGTAAGCTGCACGAAAGTAGAAGTGAAGAAACGAGAGAGGTTTGGGTCGGGTTGCAGATTGTAGCCCGACCCAAGCCTCCCCCTTTTTTTCTCTCCTCCATTGCTATCGTGCCGTCTACTGTATCGCTCAGTGTATCGCATTTAACAAACTGGACGCCTCTAACAGACCTTAGCAAGGAACACACATCACGCGAACATTTTTACAACACAAAAGCCTTTCTGCTGCATAACTCCACTAGCGATAAAAGCAATTTCTAATTTACTACTGAAGCAACCAGGTCTAAAAGAAATTACAAGCTTTTAGAGGCGAGCTTTAAATTTGTATGACTGTATATTAATTTGGAGAATTTTGAATTGGATCAACTGATAATCTCCTTATTAAATTTTTTTAAAATTCTCGTCACTTGTCTGCTTGATATTGTACTGACATGGTAAAGAGAAATTCTGTCTTGGTCACTCATTGCAGTTTAAGAGTTTAAGGGTTAAGAGAGAGAAATACCCCCTAAAGATTCTGACCTCAGAACTTCCAATCACGTAGCATTTTCATCCACTGACTGAGCTTTAGAGATCTGTGTATCACAAATTGGAAACTTTTATTAGATGTGTTACAGCATTGAACCCTCTATATTCACAAAAAAAAGAATTGTTTGTTCGTTGACATGGGTACGTCTTGCTGAATCTGTCTGAAACGCCTTCCATCAGATACTTTAACAAGTAAGGACTGGTTGTGACCTGAAAATAAGACAAACAAGTACTTGTAAAATGAGAGTTCTTGGACAAAGAAAAGCCAAGGATAATAAGTGGTCCGGGTCAAGCCAAGAGCACTTTTTCATACTTATCCTTGACGAAAACGTGAAAAAGGCTGTACCACGCCTCCTTATTTACTCACGATGTATTCACTTGATTTGACAATTTTACTACAACGCTTCGGTTAACTCCCACTCACAACTCTCGGCTTATTCGAAGGAAACACACACAAAACATCCCGTAGTAGGCACGTGGAACAGTGCCATATATGGGGCGATAAAACACGTGTCGCATACGTGTTTGTTTGGTTATGTATAGATTAACGAAATCACTTATAAATGTCTATCAACTTAGGAATAATTAACGTATCGTACAGTTCCTAACACAATTAACTTCTCCCAGAACTCTTATTTTATAACTATTACTACTGAGACAAGCTCGGAAATCTCATGCCATAATTTTTTTCTAAAAACAATTATGACAAATCAACTTGTCAATCTTCCGTATCAGAACGAATTTCGATAAATTCAATCATATGACAGGATCAGCATCAATATTGTATCTTCTTATGAAGAAGTCGTAGTGTACCTTGATTTGTTCTTCTGTCCAAAGAGTGTCTTTGTAAATGAAAAAAGTATGTCAGTTTCAGTAATGGCTAATCTTCTTGGCATATAGCGGCGACTACAAAAACCATCAACATCGTCCAAAAGTTTACCACATTTAACAACAACCTTGTCCACTCTGATCTCTTACACAATTACGAAAACCTATTCAGTGGAAAGCCCTCAAGCGTTCTTGGATGCTTCAACATCGTCGGGCAGCCCTTAGTTAGGGTTAATTATTATTAGGAAACACCAATCCAGCGAAAAATATCTACAAGGAATTACAATTCGTAAAAAAGGTTGTGCTTGCTCATCGTGGTAAAGTGCAATAATAATAATGTATTATATCACATCAATGAGGGTTCGCGTGACAGGAATAAAATCATTAATTTCAAAGGTCTTCGTTTGAGGTTTAAGTTTTAAACAATTTAATGATTTAAAAATGACTGATCAAAACATATTACCAAGTGCACCACAACTTTATCTAATAATACCAGATGATTTCTGGTTGAAGAGGATTTGTGATGGTCAAAAGGAGCTTAAGAATGAAATTACTCGTTAACGACGTGTCCTTGGCAAATTAAAGAAAATTAGATCCGTTCGTCTCACGACATTCACTGTGATAGGAGTAACGTCAGCTGTATTTTCAACAAGCGGTCTGGCAGTTTCCCTGAGTGGAATTGGGATGATTGTTGGGGCACCCATGGTTAATTTAACTGGCTTGTTTGTTTTTATATCAACAGCATTTACTGCAGGGGGCAAAAGACTCAATAAGAAAATTACAAAAATTGAAAGAACAATTTCAATTTCTGAGGCAAAGCACCTGTCAGTATGCAGGTTAACTTCAAAGGCAATGGATAATAATTCTATCTCTGACATTGAGTTCAACTCAATTTTGCTAGAGATTGAGCAGAATTATTCACTGAAAAGCAGCTGAGAAATTAAGCAAGAAGCTTATCTAAGGTTGACGTCCAGGCCCTTCAAAAAACAGTTAAAGGAAGAGTACCAAAGGAAATCAGATCACTTGTAAACATAATGAAATAAGATTTGCATTTCAAAAGACATTGAACAGGTTGAATATTATTCTTACAAAGGACATGCAAATTCAACTCGACTAAATATATGCTTAGTATTCAAGGTATCAGCTGATTGATTTATGATTGAATTATTTTTTTGCCCATTACTAAACCATGCAGTAGAAAAGTTGGCTATTTTTTGGGTTTTGGTTTTTTGGTTTACATACAATGAAAGATGCCTTTTTCAGAGGAACTTATCATGAGATTTCAAAGAGTCTGTGAAAAAATTCAAAACTCAATCAAAGTTGTTGAATCACACAAATTTGAAATTAATCAAGCAATACATAACCTTGAAATTATGGACATCAGTCAGATGGACAGAGAGTTGAATAATTATAAGATTGTATTTGAAGAGTATTAGAAAATTTCGAGAATGGAGAGATCCCAAAGGAGATCGGAAATGAAGATAAAAAAAGTGATGAAACTAGGACTTTGAAAGAGAAATTAACCCTTTAACTCCCTGATCAAATTTGAAACTCTCCTAACTATCAACCATGCAATTCATGTAATGTTACTTCAGAGAATTTAGTATTGGATCAACTAATTATCCCCAAATTGATATTTTTCTCTATTCTCATCACTTATCTGTTTGATATTGTATTAATATTTTAAGGAGAAATTCTGTTTTGGTCACTCATAGGAGTTAAAGAGTTAAAGAAGAGACATCAACAAAGGAAGACAGCAGACAACCCATATTCAATGGAGGAAAAAAAATTGAGAAACTGAACATTAATGGTTCACATGAGGAAGTATGATATTCTGAATATAATTAACTATAAAGATAAACTAAGGTGAAATTAACCTCGGATAAATCTTGTAAAATCTAAAATGTATAGTATATTATGCAAGAAAATAAATTTTGAAATCACCTGCTGATGCATCCACTCAAATAAAATATTCTCTTTTAATTTTTTTCTGATAAAACTCTCAAGTTAACAAAGACACTTTTGACAGAAGAACAAATCAAGGCACACCACAACTTCTTAATAAGATACAATATTGAAGCTGATCCTGTTGTATGGTTGAATTTATTGAAATTTGTTCTGATACTGAAGGTTTACAAGTTAATATGTCATCATTTTTTTCCAAAAAATTATGACATGAGATTTCTGAGCTTGTCTCAGTAGTAGTAGTAGTAGTTGCAGCTGTAAAATAAGAGTTTGGGAAGATGTTAAAGGGTAAGTACTGTATGAAAAAGTTGTCTAGGCTTGACCCTGGCCACTTTTTATCCCTAGCTTTGCCTTGTCCTAGAAGTCTCATTTTACAACAACTCAATATTTTCAAAGTTTTTTTCATGAGGCATCTGGGACTGGTTGGCTTACTAGCCAACATGCTGGTTGGAAGGTCTAGGTTTGAGACAGGTTGGGTTATTGAGTTGTGTACTTGCACAAAATACTTTTTGTGTGGCTTACACAATTTGTGCAGCCACATTATGGCACGATTGGATTTATTTATTCTCTCACTGTCTCTCTCTTTCCACCCAGAATTGGGTGCAAGTATCTGAAAACTGTCAGAGAAAGCAGTTGAAATGCTGGGGGGTAACCTGCGATGGACTAGCATTCCATTCAGGGAGAGAGTAGTGAGACTTCTTGTTGCTTCATGCTGCAGAAACTGGGATGAGTAGTGGTTACATAGGCCACTTGGCTCAAGTGCAGAATTCACCTTTTTATGTAAGTGAAAAGTTCCAAAACTATAGCATGCTTACCTGTGGCTCTATGAAGGAGGAGGAACAGGGGCCATGAGATCAATGTCTGAAAGTTCTCTTGCAGCTGCCACAGCTAGGATGAATATTGCAGTGTGTTTTATCAGCTGCCTTGAATAAGGAAAAGAATAGGAGTGAGATGTATTTTCTGATATTAACTCAGCTTGTTAAAAAAAAAAAACAAATGAAAATCTTTGTGGAATCAATGAGGGGCAGCAAGTTCTTAGTTCTTAATGCATTATAGAACGACTTTTTACCTAAAAACAATTTAAGGGAAAATGGAATGCCCTCCCCTCCAATCCTGGAATAAAAGGTGTCCTTTCCAACCATGCTGGTTTTATGAAAGGGGGAGGGGGTGGGGTTGGCCAAAAAAAACATGACCTCACATCCAGAAACTTCCACCTCTGAAAGCTATCACTTAGCCTCCCCCACATCTTCCCTCATGTAACTGAAGTCTTGTTCCATCATCCCCATTTAAGGAATATCAACACTCCTGGCCCTGGTTGTTCAAAAGTTAGATCACACTACTGGCAGATTAAGTAGTGCATGTCATGTGACCTTTATACATCAGGGACCTGGAATACGATCCATTTCTGGCTTACACAAAAGATTACCCTAGTTTTAAATGGTAAGAAGGAGAAAGAGAGACTTCACCTTTCACACCCCCTCCCCACCCCCCTGCTTCCAGGATGGCATAGTGCCCTTGGTGATCATGCTGGCTTTCCAAGAACAAGCCTTGAAATTTGATTGGCTGTTTTGTTTCAATGTTGCTTTCTCGTTGGCTGGAAATCTGAAATCTGACCGGCTGTTTTGTTTAAGTGTTGCTTTCTCATTGGCTGGGAAAAAGACACGATTTAAAAGATTTATCAAAGAATACATCGCACAGCTCAGTCATCAGCAATTCAAAATGGAGAAATTTGACAATTACCCATTGTCAAAATTACATATAATTTAACATTTTACTTGCACGCTACTCAACCAAAAGCTCGGCCCTTATCCAGGTCGCGTGATAATGGCCGCGTCGTGACCCGCAAAACCCACTCAAACAAAACAGGCCAGAGACGCACATATCTCGACCACAAAACGTGCTTTCCTCGTGAACATTCCTTGCTTATTACTTCAAGCCGTTTCTTACGGTCACATCACTAAATAAAGAGAAAATAACGATTACATAAGCTTCAATACGCTTACCATTTTATAGGATTTTTGTAAAAGTCAGCTACAAAATCTTTCACTGCTGCAAATCCACCGTTTTTGGACGGAATGGCTTTC